CTAAGAATAATAAAAACTAGATGGTACAGAAATGGAAACCATTTATAAGGGGAAAATATTGTATAACTTAAGTAAAACTTAACAGCAAATCAGAAAAATAGATATTAATTGTATGACAGCAAGTGGTGGATTTTTTTTATATAAGAAGAGTTCTCACAAAGCAATAAAAATAATTGGAAGAGCCCAATAAAAAAGAGAGCAAAGGGTATTAAAAGGGGATTCATAGAGGAAAAATGTTAACACCCCAATCAGTGTGAAGATACCATCTCATTGATCATTAAACACAAATGCGAAAGTCATTTTGCCTCCATTCCATTTTCCTGAAGCATATTGACTTCATCTGAACTTTGTACACATTCTTCCCCTTCTTGGGCCTTAGTTCTCTCAACTGAAAATGAAGGACCTGGAAAGATTGTCTTTAAAGCCTCCACTAGTCCCTTCCACAATGAAAGAGGCTGAGAAATTCCACCACAGCCATTGTTCTGAATGTTATGAGATCATATTTAAAAACACAGGGAGATAACTGAAAAGAAAGAGAGTGGGAACTGAACACCCCACTGAGAAGAGCTGGCCTAACAAATTTGCAGATCATCTTAGCCAAACTGCTTCCATCCACACCATCTTCCCTGATTGACATTCCATTGATGCATTACCTTGCACTGTTCCATCACTCAAGAATGACAGTCTCATCCTGTGGACCACCCTTCAGGGTCCTGACCACGGGAAACCATCCATGTGACCTTGTCAAGAAGTCATCTTGACATCTTGACCATCTCAGCCTTGGACCCAATGTTGCTAGAAGCATTCTGTGACTTAGGAAGCCCTTCATCCTCCTCTCTGGGCCTCAGGTTTTCCATCATGAAGAGGTGGTTAATGATGATCTCAGAGTGTACTGTCTTGTTTGACCCTAGATGGAAGGCTGTTAAGCAGTAAAAGTGCCAAGAGCTGATAAACACGGGGTCCACGTTTCGCCTCCCATCACTGGGGCCCTGAGAGAGATGACACTCATGAGAGTCCCCCTGTCCCTATTCTCAGTAGCACATACAAGTGCCTGGAGCTCCCCCTAACCTTTGCAGCAACTGCTCTATTGTTTTGCCTCAGGATGACCATGAAGGGCTGGGGTCTCCCACCTTCAGAGGGGAGCTCAGGGTTTATGGAAGTAGGATGCAGGAATGTGAGTCTTCCCATGGGCACTGAATGTTTTTAATATCTGTTATTCCCACCAAGACACTGTGAATTGCTCAAATGGCATTTTTTGTGACCTTATAATGCCTGGAAGTCACAAATCCTCTCCTTCTTAACCTCCTTCTGACTCCCTGCCCAGAGTTACTCCTATGGTCAGATCTGCCCATATTGAGCTCTAGGTGGTTTGGATTTTCAGAGAAAAGGGCTCAGGAACACCCACATGTTCTGGCCTTCTCTTCTATAGATGGTGTTACTGAGGTTCAGAGAGAGTGCAGAGCATCTCTAAGCCTAAGGGTATTGGCACAGAGGTCTGGGGGATAACAGTATTGCCTGCTTCTGGTATCCAGTAGGGAATCAAGATGAGAGGGTACCTGGAAGGAATATGAGTCTGGAGTCTGACTGGGGATGGAAAGACTCTTTGCTCTGCCTGCTACAGTCTCCCAGATGGGCTGAACAAGTGAAAATGGGGATAAAACCACTGTATACTTGGTCCAAGGTCATGTCTCCCCAGATGAGTCCCTCATCATGCTGTAAACCCCTATCTCTTTGAATAAATAATTTCCCTTGAAATGAAAAATGATTGGAAAATAACGGCAGCTCCATGGATCAGAAGACAAATGCTCAGGCATCTCTTGGCATCAGAGAAACTTGCACTTGAAAGGTTTGATCAAATCAGCCAGTTCCATAGAATGGAGGGAGATGGCTGGAACCCTGGTCTGGACGATATGCAACCAGCTCTGATTTTGTTGAGTAAAACTGGGAAAGGCACTTCTCCCCAAAGGGCCTTTAAAGTTGGGATCAAGCAAAAGGGGAAAGTACATCTATCCACAGTCTTTTTGGTGTCCTTATGCCCTGAAGAAGTCATTGTTCAATCAGGTGCCAGAATCACCAGGGAGGCTGTGGGGGCCAGCAAAGTGCAACATGCTGGGTCTCATACCTCTTTATGAGGATGTGGGTTTCCGGCCCTTGCCTGGCCCCAGCACTCCTCAGACAAGCCTGTAGTCCTTAGTACCAGCAGCTCCCATTGCTTGGTAGGGAGAACTGAGACCCCTCAAATTAATCATCATTTTGATTTATCAAATTTCCATGGGCATCCACAGGAATTTATCTTTCTCTATGCACTTATGCACAGTGTTTAGAGTTCCTTGAGTAACCACCACTATTCTCACCACTCTCCAAAAATGGGGTTTAGAATATTTTACACTTAATGGATAAATTGAGCAGTAAAAAAAGAATCCAAAGAATCCAACTGGAAAGTGGACAGTGGACAGTTTTCCAAAGAGATGCACAAATGGCCAACAGGCACAGGAAAAGATGCTCCACATCACTAATCATCAGGGAAATACAAATCAAAATCACAGTGAGACATCACCTCTGAATGGCTACTCTCAAAAAGAAAAAGAGATAAATACAGGCAAGAATGTGAAAAGAAGGGAACCCTTGTGCACTGTTGGTGGAAATGTAAATTGGTGCAGCCACTGTAGAAAACAGCATGAGGTTCTTAAAAAATTAAAGGTAGAACTCCCATATGGTCCAGCACTCCCGCCTCTCAGCATATAACCAAAGGAGCTCAAAGCGCTATTTTGCAAAGATATCTGCACCCCACGGTCATTGCCGCAACATTCACAATAGCCAAGAAATGGAAAAAACCAAGTGTCCATCGACATGAACGGATGAAGAAAATGTGGTGCATGTATATAATGGAATAGTATTCAGCTACATAAAAAAGAATTTCTGCACTTTTGACACCATGGCTGGACCTTAAGGGCAATATGTTAAATGAATAAGTCAGACAGAGAAAGACAAACGCTGCTTGATCTCACTTACATTGAATCTAAAATCATCAAACCCATAGACACAGAGTAGAATGCTGGTAGCTAGGGGCTGAGGGTGGAGGAAATGGGGAGATGTTGGTCAAAGGATACAAACTCCCAGCTTTAGGATGAATACATCCTGGAGATCTAATGTACGACATGCCGACTATAGCTAACAATATTTTGTTGTATCCTGGAAAGTTGCTGTGAAAGTAGAACTTTATAACAACAATAAAAATGGTAATCATGTGAGTGTAGAATGTGTTAACTATCCTTATTGTGGTAAACATTTTACAGTATGCAAGTGTATCAAATCATCACATCACACACCTTAAGCTTAATGTTACATGCCAATTTGTTTCAGTAGAGCTGAGGAAAGAGACAAAATAGAACAGATAAATAATACCTTCACCATATAGAATGTCTCCATTCAGAAGCACATTCTTTATTATTCAAGACTTTTTCATGTGTCACACGGACAATTGCTTAGATTTCATTTTTAACATTCTATCTGTCTCTTGTAAGTTTCATTTGTGGAATGTTATAATTCTGTTGATATTATAAGTGGGATATTTTTTTCTGTTCCATTTTCTGGTTATTGCTAGTTTACAATAAAAATAGGATTTAATCATAACTTAGTGTGACTTTGTGCTGTTCCTGAACTCTAATGGTTTCATTGTTAAAAAATTACAGGCATGTGTAGAATATGCATCTGAGAGGTTTCTTAAGAATAATAAGACATACAGATAATATTCTTAGTATAGAACTTGGAACAGAGAAAACACTAAATGCATAAAGTATTTTTACCACCAATGGTGTGTTTTGCATTAGGCCAGAAGCCCAGGCACTGCTCTCACCTGTCTCTAAGTTCCCTGGTATTATAGCTCTAGCACAGTGCAGCCAATCCCCTGCACAAGGGGGAAGCCCCGGCCTGCGGGCTCCTGGAAGGGGCTACGGGGCACTGTGCTCTCTGTTCTCTAACCCAAGCTTCTGCCCCTGCCTCCACTCACAACACACACAGAGTGTTCAGGGCCAGAACATCAGGGCTAGACTGTAGTTCCAGAACAATTACATCCAAGCCCCTCAGATTGAATAGACAACTGAGACTCAGAGAGGGAAAGAGATTTGTCTGAGGTCTCCCAGCAAGTGGGGAGGCTAAGCTGGGGCTAGAACTCAGGTGCCCTGACCCCCATGTCTGAGCTCTCTCAGCCCCATGCAAAATGGTCCTTGTCCTGCAACTCTGACCTTCCCTGAGCTTCCCTGAGTAAGGGCAGTGGTGCAGGTGGGCCAACAGCAGAGCCCTGAGGTCATTCAAGGGTGCTCGCCCCATGCCTCCAGGTGCTTCACCACTCAGGTCTGCCCCTTGACCATCTTGGGTGTCTCCCAGAACACTGCTCACACTAAAGGTCCAGGACTTGGCGTGTCTTGCCTCCTCATTCACTTCTTACAATAGAAAGCTGCCCGAGGACAGTGGTTGACCCAAAGGAATGGTGTGCTAATGGGGCAGCTCGGGCACCCCTAGGTGACGTGCTTCACGGCAGGGGTTGCCAGCCTCTGTCCTTCTAAGTCTTCTTGGGAAGATAGAGATCCCAGGGAGACATTAAAGGAAAAGAAGGAGGGAGCTCCAGGTTTAGCAACCAGGACTGGGTGGTCACACTGGCAGGGCTGACAATAGCCAGACCAGGACTGGGACCAGTCGGAAAGGAAAAGAAACAACCTCCAGTTCATGCAACATTTGATCTTCTATTTCCCTGGCCCAAGGCCAAAGACAAAGTTCCCAACTTCCATTTCCTGGTGAAACGGAGACTCCAGCTCTTGTGACTGTCACTGGATGTCTAATACTAAGACCAATGGGTTTCTTGTTCCTGTCCCTGCTGACTTCACACTCCAGGAGCAGCTCCCATGCGTCCTCCCTCTCCACGGGGAAAGAGGGAGTCCCAGCTCCACACCATCTCCCAGGAGCATCCAGGGGCCCAGAAGTCATAGGAGCCAGAAGCCAACAGAGCAGAAGTGGTATTTATTGGAAATTCGATGAGAGCAGCAGGCCAGGCTGGGCACGCTGGGTGAGAGGGAGAATGAGCAGGGTGGCAGGGGGGAGTGCCACCAGACCAGGGCTTATGGCCCTGGGGGCGTCACAGGTGCAGCAAAGACACGCTCCACCTGGCAGGAGAGAAGACAGGCAGAGACACGGCTCAGCGGGTCGGCGCACTCAGAGGCAGTGGGAGGCAGGATCAAGTCCATGGGCCACCCTTCGTGGGATCCGGGTGATAGCCTCCAAGACCCGGTCAGTCTCTCCACCACCTCCCCGTATTCTCTCTCCCACCGACCTGGGCTCTTTCCCCAGCGCTTGGCCTTCTCTGTGCCCTCAGGGTCACCTCCTCCTCCCTGGTCTCACCTCATTGGGGGTGCAAGCAGGCCAGCCCACAGGGGCCCACACAGCATTTCTTGGCCCCTGGGCACTCAGCGTCGCTCTGACACCTGTTGGGGGGATTTAGCATGGCACAGCGGATCAGAATATTGGGGCAGGAGCCTGGCTTAGTGGAGACTGGAGACTTAATGGAGACTTCCCGTCGAACTTGGTCTTTGATGGGATCTTGGCTTGTAAATGCATCTTGTCCTGTGACCAGAACGTGGTCGCTGCTAGTGTCTTGGCCTTTAGAAGGAACTGTTGAAAGAAGCAAAGTGCCCACGTTTAGACCCTGTGTGCCTGCTTCAACTATCCAGGCCTTCTTGTGCGTCCAGCCACTGTTCCCTGCAGGGTCCCAAACCATGACCTGAGATGGGGAGGGTCGCCAGGGCTAGCTGGGGTCTGTGCCCTCGGAAGGCTGCCCTGGGCTTTGGGGAACATGTATGTCCACAGGACCACCATTCCCTCAGGTGAATGTTTCCTCCCCCTCCCTCCATTCCAAGTCCTGGGCTCTCAGGAGCGATGCCAGGCTAGAGTGACTCCCAGGGGTGCAGGGACACATGGTCGTCTCTGAGGAAACCTAGTGGAGGGAAAAGAGCCCCAAGATACACAGCAGGAGATCCAGGCTCCAGACTCTGTCCTGCTCTGGCGCTTGCCTGCACACTCGCCACCCCTCCCGATGGCTCCGTGATGTCCCAAGGAAAGGGGGGTCTTCAAACTACATGGTTTCTGTGGCCCTGTTGGAGTATAACCTCCTTGTAAAGGGCTGGTTACTCAGGTGCTTTTATGGGGCAGACAGGCAGAGAGCAGGCCCCACGCCCATAACCCAGATTCCTGGCCTCCTCACTTCACTGCCCTGTCTGCACAGGTACCCACACCCGAGGCAACAGCGCCTCTTTCTCAACAGTCCTGATCTCTCAGTATGGGGACGAAGTCCACTGGGCATCTTCCCTCCCTCTCTGAGCACGGTGAGAGCTGCTGTTCAGGCTGAAGCATGGGCCCCAGCTCTGCCATGCACAGGCTGCCCCTGACAACCTCCCCTCAACCCAGCCGGCCCCAGCAGGCCACCTGTCCGCTCACCTCCTGTGACAGCTGCCTCTGCCACCAGAGTCACAAAGACGACACCCAGGAGGGACAGCCCCAGGACCAGGGAGTTGCTGGGCCTCATGCTGTCAGGAAGGCATAAGGCTAAGCTCTGAGGCCAACCCCAGTTTTATGCAGCCCAGCTTGGCCCGGGGGCAGGGGCGGGTCTGTGGTTTTACAGGGACAAGGCCTACATTTACTAAGTTTTACCAGGAAACATCCACCCCCATCCTGGGAGGGACCTTGGGGCTTTCCCCGATGGTTATTCAAAGGCAGAAGTAACAGAGGTTGTGCTGCATTTCCCCTGAACACCTTGGCAGCTGTCCCGTCTGCTCACAGAGAAGCAGGCGGCTGGCCTGCAGCACCATCACCATCACATCCCTCATATCCAGGCAGAATATGAAGCCCAGAGGAGGAACCAACCCAGGCCGCTCGGCGAGTCAGTGGCGGGTCCGGGGCTCTGACCGGAGAGCCAGGGTGCTCTCGCCTCTGCCCCTGCAGGTCCCAGCGACCTGCCCTAGCAGGGTGTCCCTCGCAGGATCAAGCTGGGCTCTTCTTTCCTTCTCTTTTCCTCCTCCCCTATCCCCCAGAAAAACTCTCAAAGACAAATCTGCCTCGAAAGTCTAGGTCCTGACCGCCGCCTTTGTTGTATCACATGTGGTCCCTGAGGTGCAGCAGGAAGGCAGGAGGGAGTGTGGGTGATGCCCTCGCAACAGCAGTGAAAGAGAGAAACCCGCAAGGTGGACATCTACAGCGTATATACAGACGCTTTCCTCCTTAGAACAGCTCTGTTTCTTCTGAAGAACTCTTCCTTTTTTGTACCATCAACTTAGGAGTCCCATGGGGAAGGCTGATCACGAAAGCCTGGTGCCGGTCCTGGGTGGCGGGTGGGGCGCGTGTGTGTCCTGGCGGCTGCGTCTCAGGCCTACTGAAGCCCTTTGTACAAATGGACACTGAGCGGAGGCGGGGAGTCTCTCCTTTGGGTAAAGGTGTTAGAAATGAATCTAATACACCGAGGGAAGCAAAGAAAAGAGGGCAAGAGAATTCTGATGGTCCAGCCAGTCCTTCATCCCCCTTTACCCTGAGACCAGCTCTTCCCACACCCTTTCCCACGGTTGGGTTATGACCCAATAAATTGGCTTTCGGCCTAAGCTAGCCTGAGTTAGCCTTTTGTCATGGCTACCAAAGTCGAGAGTAATACAAATTGATACCCAAAAGCTGGGTGTGCCACAGACAGAACCTGAATTGCGGAAGTGACGTGCTGAGTTCAGAGTGAGGGAAGAAAGCTGACTAACTACTGAATAGAAAACAGGTTCATTGAATCTGCCTCCTCTGTCTCTTGGGACTCAGACCACATGCCTACCAATGTTGAAACATTAGGGAGATATAAACAAACGTCAGCAAGTTCGAGTCTGGGCCACTTAAAAAATGCTCATTTCCAAATAAATCACACAAACAAAAAAGTGTGCAGAACATACCTATATTCGTTCCAGAATATTATTGAAATGGGCAGTCTGTATTCAGCTGCCGGGTAGAGGAGAATATTTCCTGTATATGTGCCCTATTGATCCGTGCTCCTCTCCAGTTGCTCCCATCTCCCTCCTCCCCAGAGGTAAGTACTCTCCTGGATTTTCTGCTACCTCGCCCATTCTTACATTAGGTCGTGTATCTTTTTCTCACTAATTTGTAGAGAAAAGAAACTCTCACGCAGTACTAGTAAGAGTCCACCCTGCTGCAATCTAGTTTAAAATCAGTCTGGAATCATGCTAGTGAAGTTAAACATGTGCACAATCTATAAGCCAGCAATTATACTCCTAAGTACATACCTAAGACTAATATTTTGACAAGTTTACCAGGATACATCCTCAAAAGCATTTCTAATACTGAAACACTGGAAACACCCCAAATTACCACTACCACCAATAACAAAAAAAAAAAGGATTAATATGTTAAGGCGTATTAATATAATTAAACATAATTCAATTGTAAATATAGAAATATAGCCATTTATATTTATATGTAAATATATTTATAACATTTATAAATATAAATACAGTCACAATGTGACTTGTGACTCATTTAAATGATGTTGAATGAAAAATGTTAAGTCTTGAAAGAAAATATGTAGAGTCATATGCTTGTTATAAGTCTCAAAACCAAGAGTAATAGGTTGTATCGTAAAACTCAAAAAGAGATAAATAAAAATGAGGAGACTATAAAAATGACATTCAGGATAGTTAGTGGTTAACTCTGGAAGTAAGGGAAGAACTATTGTGGATGGGTGAGATGCACTCGGGTTGGCTTAAGTTTTGGGTTATTGGTAATGTTCTATTCCTTCGGTTGACTGCTGATTTCATGTGTGTGTGTGTGTGTGTGTATTTTAAAGCTTCCCAATAAATCATTTATGGACTACCTTAGCTTTCTATAAACCCACATACTGCACTCTTGGGTTGTTTCCAATCTTTTGCTATTACAAGTCATGCTACATGTGGCCAAGAAAAGTAGGACAGAAGGACTGGGAGATGTAGAGAGAAAAGAAAAAGAAATTGCATCAGGGAGAGAAGGTGTATTTATGGGAGAGGGTATCATCTTGAACTGCTGGAGCAATGTCTCTAAGCCGCAATGGCCGATGTTTCAAACTAGTGCCTAAGAATCAGAAAAAAATCTATGTAGCAAACTGCCTGTTACTGTAGCAGCAGAGGAGGGAGCCCTTGAGCTAAAAAACTAAGAAACCTAGGCAACTTCGACCCCTCCCATTCCAGTAAGATACTCCTTCCAACAGCTAGTCCGTGAAAAATCAACTAATTTTAAAAATAAGAAATATGGAAATCACACAAGTCATACAAAAAGCCTATTTTTAAAAAGGAGAAATGAGAAGCAAATCTTAAAAGACAACAGGGTAAAGCTTGTTTAATTAACACTCTCATAGAGAAACAATTAAAAGAAAAAAAATTCTCCTTATAAGAACTCTTAGCATCTGCTTTCCTACAGTGTTAACCAGTCACCCTGCTGTATGTTACATCCTTAGTAATAAATATTTATCTCATCACTGGAAATTCATGCCTTTTGACCACCTTCCTCCAATTGCTCCCATGGTAACCATTAGCCTGATCTCTTATTCCATGATTTGATGGGGGGTTTTTTGTTTGTTTTTTTAGATTCCACAAGTAAGTGAAATTCCATAGCACTTGTCTTTCTCTGAAGTTGACTTTTTTGATTGAACTTTTTTGGGGTTGGTTCCCTGTGGTGAGTAGAGGTGGGCAGCTGAGACTGAAGAGTGGAGGTGGGCAAACAAGGAGCTGATGCCTCTTCTTGCCCCTCCAAGAAGACACGAGCCCTTCCTTGGCTCCACCCCTTCCCTTTCTCCAGGCCGGAGGGAGGGAGGCGAGCTGGGCTGGGCTAGAACTTTGACAACAGGGCAGCTTCCTGTCCAAGTCAGGACCAGTGCATGACCTCCAGGCCTGGCAAATTAGAAGGTGCCATAAGTGGCAACTGTGATTCATATTTTTAACATTATCTATGTCTCAGGCTCTGTACCAAATACAGCATATGCATTGTCTCAGTAACTCTATTAACCTTCTAGGTGGCACTATTTTTCCCAGTTCTGCAAACATATAGCTGAGAGAAAGGTTAAATAATTACAAGAATTCTCTGGCTAAGAGTGATTCATATTATTAAATACTAGCAACAACTAGTTAGAAAACCTAGTAGTTAAAAAAAAAATCCCTATTCAACATTATCAAAATACATAAAATACTGACAAATAAATGCATTTAGAAATGTACAGTTTTCCTGAAAAATAAAAAACTATAAAACTTCACTTAATGACATTTTTAAAAAGATCCAAAAAAATAGACTGAAATTTTCCACAATAAAAAAATATCTTTCAAAGATATGCTCTTCCTAAACAGGGAGCCTCCACAAGATAAAGATGGCCATCTTGGCCAACATCTTTATGCCTTAAATATAATCACCATAAAAATCCAATGGGTTTTTGCAGCCCTCAATGAAATCTTTGATTCAAGTGATGATCATCCACCAAAAATCATTAGGTGGGAATCTGAGATCGGATAGTTGGCTGGGTGCCATATTATCACCCCACAGTCTATTTGCTCTTATAAGTAGGAAAACATGCTTCTACAGTGGAAGTATTTGGGGATACCACCTAAAATGCATTAACCTATTTTTACCATACTAAAAGTGGGTTGGTGAAACCTGAGTTCCTCCTGAGGTGATGTGATATGAAGCCCACAGCATCACCTCTGAAGTATTCCTGACACCTGAACTTGACATGACAGTTGACCTTGAACCTCATCAAGCCTCTACAGCTAATGTTCATCTACGGGAAATATGAAGGATAGAGAAGCAAAGTTCTCATAAAATTCTCCTAAATGAAGTTGCCAACAGGATGCTAGAATTTCAAAAGTAACATCAGCTCATAGAATATAAGGTCCTTCTTCTCCTGAGAGCTTAGAAGACAGCATGAGTGATTCAAGTTAAGCCCAAGAAGAACTTCCTGTTTGTAAGAGTTGTCCTGGACTGGAATATTCTCTTCCTTTCTCAGGGTCGGATAAGGTAATGCCTTGTTTCCTAGGCCCAGGAACTGAATGGGGATCCTGGGGAGGCAATGACATAAGTCCCAGCTAGTTAGCAATTAACTGTGCATCCTCGAGCCAGCCTCCTACTGTATCTGACCTACAGTTTCCTCATCTCTCAAATGGGAGGGTGGAGAGGATGGCCTTGATCTTCTTCTCCAGTCCTGATAAGGTATTATGGTTAGTGGGGTTTCTATTTGGGGCTCCTTAGTACCAGGAACCCCAGCTGCCTCTAACACCCAATGCAGGAAGGAGCCAAATGATGTGAAAATTAAGATGGGGTCTTGGCTAAGATGAGCTTTTGCTCATGATCTGTTAGTCCAGGAAAGGGGTCCTAGAAGCCACCTAGATATGCTGTGACCAGCCACCTTGGTGAACCAATACCTGTGCTCCATCCACCAGACCGCTGGGCCAGCCCCACATGGAGAGCAGTTCTACCAGGTGCCTCTAGAGGTGATCTCACCAAAGGTGGGGAGGGAGCTCTCTCCCCCCATCCACAGGAGCCCAAAAGGAGAGGCCAGGGCTGGCCTTGCTCATGGCCACAGCCTGGGCCAGCCTTCTCCAGCAGGGAGCCCTGACCCTAAGCCAAATACTTCCTAGACATACAGAACTCTGCAAGCCCCTCCATGCCATTCAGAGCTGACTATGATCCCCTGCCTGAGTCGTTGCTGGGGCTTCAAGATCTTAGAGAGCCAGGAAAAGGAGTATCAGACTCAACAACCTTCACCCTTTACGCAGATTAGAAAAACTGAGGTCCGAAGAGGGAGAAGACTTGCCCAAGATCACAGCCCAAGTCAGCAATACGGGCAGAACTGGATCCTAATCCCCAACACCCAGAACCAGTCCCCGCCCATCTCCATTCTTGCACAAGCACCCTTGCTCTGAGGCTCTTGGGCAGCAGGTGGGGTCAGAACAAGGCAGACAAGTGTCACTCTGTCCACCTTCTCTCCTTCCTCCCCTGACTCAACTGCTCCAATCTCTCTGGGGCCGCAGGTGGTAATTTAGAGGCCCCTGGGCTTGACCTTATTTGGTGCTGGCAGCAGAAACATGACGGCCCAGAGTTTCCTCTTGGTGGCCCTCCTGGCTCTGGGGATCCAGCTGCCCGCTGCCTCAGGCATGAGGAAGGGAGGTGAGTTTGGGAAGGGGCCAGGTGGTCCCCATCTGTGGGGAGAGTAGGGTTTGGGGGAGACGGAAATGCAGTGCCTGTGTGTGTGTGGCAATGGAAGCCTGCTTCTTAGTGCTTCCAGCAGCCAGTGTTTTGTTTGTACATCTTGTGCCTGTTCTTGGGCCTGTGTCTGTGCTGTAAATGTCTTCCTGCCAGTTTCTGAGTGCTTATCTGAGCCTGTCTGCATGTCGGCGTGTGGGACTGTGTGCACCTGACTCCGCGTACACGTGCACCCGTGTGGTGGCTCCTCTGCGTCAATCTGTCTGCACATGTATACTTAGGTCTGACTTAGGCAGATGTGTGTGTCTGAGCCCGTGTGCCTGTACATGAGGGGTCACGTGTCTTGTCCCTCTGGGGAGGGGAAGCGAACCGGCCAGTCCCTGCTCTTCCCTGGCTGTCTCCACGGAGGTGGCTGGATCTGTGAGTCTGCGTGGCAGGAAGAAAAACCAAGGCATCCCTCCCCTCAACTTGCCACTTTCCTCCACTGCTGACAGCCAGGAAGATGTCTCCTGGGAGAAGAGGCCCTTTCTGTCATCTTCTGTGGCCAAGAAGCCCAGGCCTAGTCTGGCCCTGGCCCCTCTGTGGCTGTCCTCAGTTCCTCCCTCCCCGCCAGCCCAGTCTGTGGAAGGGACTCTGGAGTTGAGGAGGAAGTGTGGTTTCTGGGACCTGGGATCTGTGGGGAGGAAGCTCTACCTTCTCTTCTCCCCCACCTCCTCAACAAGGTCAGGGAAGCTGGGCTGCTGGAGTGGCTAGACAGGTGCCTCCCCACCTGGGCGAGGCCTCTGCCTCCATCCCATTCTAAGGCTGGAACACTTTGACCTACATATGTCTGTGAAGCCCAGGCCCTTCCTTGGGGGGAGGTGACAGTAATGGGGACAGGTCCCTTCCTCCACAGGGGAGCAGTTCCCTGCATCCTCTCTGCCCCTCCAGCCTAACATATGCCTTCCTGAGAGGCAGGGCTCTCTTCTGAGGCATGAGCCGTTTTGGGGAGGAGAGTACTCAGAGACCTGCGGACTGAGGAGGCAAGGATGCTGGCAAGTTCCTAGGCGAGACTCTGTGCTGGCTGTGATTCATACGCCATCACCACATTCCTCCTCATTGAGATGCTGTGGGATCAGGACTATTTTTATCCCCATTTTGCAGATGGGGAAACCAGGGCTCAATGGGATATCTCTTGACTTAGGCCAAAGACTGACTCTGAGTTAGTGTCAAAGGTGGCATTTGAGTGCAGGTCTTTGGAATCAGGAAGATTCACCCTCCCAACTTACTTGTAAAATGAGGTTTCATGCCTCTTTCTCAGGAGTAAATGGTGTCCTGAGGAGTAGGACCTGGCATACAGTAAGTGCAGCCTAAGTGTGTGACTCAGAAGAACTGCTGGGGGCACAGGGAGAGAACACCCCCCATACCCAGCTGAGCTGCCCAGAAGTGAGAGCTGGTGCCTGCTTGGAGCCTCTCATGGCCCAGTGGTACGGCTGTTCTCCTACCCGGTTCACACACACCTCCACCCCCATCTGTCCCTAATTTTCTCCTGGGAGACATCTGTCTGGCTGTCAGCAGAATTTTAGGCAATGGAGGAAAGTGATAGACTTGAGGGGAGGGAAATTTGGTTTATTGCCTGTGGAGGCCCAAGGACCTCTGTTTATATGACCCCCCACAACACACACTCAAATGTATGTCTGGGTGCCTCTGATATAAAGAGGTTGGCACAGTCCCTTTTAAATACTAAGTACCTAACAAATGTTTTCAGTGGATATATTGTATTAATGAATATACCTATGTCTATGTAGCTCTGTGCATAGAATTGTGTATGATGTATGCATATTTATATCTCTGTTCATACTCATACATATAATATACATTTATATATATGACAGTGTCTGTCTGAGGGTGTGCATAATTTCTGTGTATGTATATTTACATGTGTAGGCATGCATATATGACAGTAGGCCTACACATTTCACTATGTATATATGTCCCAATTCATATGTTCATGCATGACTATCTGTGTTCATACACATATATAACTATCTTGTATAGGTCTGGATGTGTGTGTCTGTGTGTACACATACACACATATATATATACATATAGATCAAACTGTATGAAATTGCTACTCTTATAGACCAAAAAAATTGAGTATCAGCAACTTCATATGGTTAAGCCCACAGATAACTCTGTGTATACATCTAAGTTTGTATTTGCACATTTGAGTGTTTATGAGCGTCCATGTCTGTGTGTATCAATATATATATTTGACTCTATCTGGGAATGGTTCTCTCGTTCTCTGAGTCTACATATCCATGAGACATGCACATCCCATATGGCTGTTGGTGTGTGTGTGTGTGACACGCACTATGAGTGGGGAACCTGGCTCTGGACGGCAGGGTGGGATGGGCAGATAACCCACCGGGCCCTCTTGCACAGCCCTGCACACCCCAGGTTTCTCTTCCCACCACCACACTGTTGCTGCCACAACTCTCCCCTTGAAATGTCTGTTCTCATCCCCTCTTCCTGTCTGTTTATTCCTCAAGGCTCAGCTCCCAGCCCCTCCTCCCAGAAGCTCTCCTGGCTCTGAGCTGACCTGCTCTGCTCCACCCCGCTTTGAGTTCAGGCAGCTCCCCTCCTTAAGGCCTGAGCACCTCAGGCCAGGACTGCACTCTGACCCCAGTCTCCCGGGGCTCCTCCCATGTGCCCAGCCTGGGGAGGGGCTTATCAGAGTAGGGGGCTTCCTCACAGGCTAAGCTGCTCTTTCCCCAGCAGGGGACAGCATTTCAGTGCAAGCCAACCCCACCAAATAACTGAAACTGACTTTGAGCAAGTATTGTGTAGGCAAGGCGCCTACTATGTGTGCTGTGCGGCCAGCATCAGGACAGGGATGGAGGGGAAACCTGGGCACAAGGTAGAGTCCCAGTACTGGTTCCAGCTGCCGCTGGGGGCTCCTGAACCTTTTCTCACATGCGAGACTGAAGTGAAGGCCAGAACCAGTCCCCACACCCAGGGTTCAGTGTCAGCCAGAGCAGAGGCACGTGGAGGTCGGCAGGGGCACTGCCCTGGGAGATGAGGGCTCGACCGTTGTGCGGGTCTGGGCAACCACTGCCCCTCTCAGCCCTTTCCCTCTAAATGGAGGACCGTACTGAGGAAGCATTCTGCGTCACATCTAGAAGCGGCCTGAAATCCTAACGAGAAGAGGGTCTAGGCAAGCTCTGACACAGGACGCCCGAGAGCCCCTCAGAGGACCACCTCTAAGGCCTAGTCAACAGAGGCCCCTGAAACAGCGCCACTTGCAGCAGCAGCGAGCACCATGGAGGTGTGGCCGACTGGCCTGTGTGACCATGTGGCAGGCTGGCAGCCGCTCGGAACCTGTGATGCGGGATCTCCCTTTAAAACCCTTTCTCTCAAATAGGCAATGAGCCTCTAGTGTTTTGCACCAAGGGCTGTCCTTCAGCCTGATGGTGAGCAAAGCAGGCAGGGGGTCCAGTCTTGTAGCCTCCAGACAAGTGGGAGAAGCAGATAAATAGACGCAGAGTCACAAACTCTGAAGGGAAGGGCCTTTGGGAGTGTGTAGGGGTGGGGTGGGGGCTGACCTGGTTAATGTGGGGTCAGAGAGGTAAGGCCTGCTGAGGAGATGGTGTTCCAGCTAAAACCGGACCACCGACGGGTGTAGGAGAGAGCTCTGGGCTCAGGGCACAGCACCAGCAGGCACCTCAAAGAACAGCAGTGTGCGGTGGGTCAGGAGCCCCCACATGCGAGGACTGCAGTGGATGAGACCAGAGAGCCGGCAGGGCCCAGAGCAGCCAAAGCCTTGCTGGCCCAGGAGGAGATTTTGAACTGCGCTTTTTCCTAGCGTGTATGTCTTTTGAGTCTCAAACCACCCCTGAGAGGAAGGAGTTCAGCTTCCCATTTCACAGACAGAAAACTGAGGCTTGCAGTCAACAAGAACTTGCCAGCTATGTGCAACAAGAAGGATGGTCCTTCAGAGCATTACACTAAGTGAAATCAGTCAAACAGAGAAAGACAAATACCACATGACCTCACTTCCATAGATACAGAGAACAGACTGGTAGTTGACAAAGGCATGGGGCTGGGGGTGAGTGAAATGGGTGACGGGGGTCAAAAGGTACAGACTTCCAGTTATAAAATAAGTAAGGCCTGGGAATGCGATGTACCCCATGGCGACTAGTTAATAATACTGTACGGTATACTTGAAAGTTGCTGAGAGTAGATCTTAAAAGTCCTCATCACACACAAAAAATGTGTAACTATGTGTGGTGACAGATGTGAACTAGACCTACTGCAGTGATCATTTCACGACATCACTAAGCTGTACACCTAACACAAATATAACATTTGTCTATTACACCTCAATAAAAATGTTACATGAAAAATAAATAAATAAAAGCAAGTCCACCCGAAAAATCAGTAAATAAATAACTTGCCAAAGGGCAGGCGAGAAAGGGGTAGGGAACTCACCAGGTCAGCGCCTATGACATCACTCTGCAAGACAGGGTGCGGGGGGCTCTCTTACAGAGAAACCTGGGGCCTGCCCACTGGATGATGGGCCCTGCTTAGTGGCGCCCGATCAGTGTGTGGACGACAGCCAGTGTCCATTAAAGATGAAGTGCTGCTACCATGCTTGCTTCCGCCAGTGTGTCCACAAGGTCTCAGGTAGGTGCCCCTTGCCGCCCTGCTGAGTGCCCACGCCCCATGGCCCAGGCCAGGCCCAGGCAGGGCTGACCAAGGCCCTGTGTTGCAGTGAAGCAGGGCAGCTGCCCCCAGGACCGACTGCTCTGCCTCAGCCCCGTACAGCATCTGTGCCACAAGGATGCAGACTGTTCTGGCGCCAAACGATGCTGCCTCAGCGCCTGCGGCCGGGACTGCCGAAACCCTACCAGAGGTACGGCTCCCCCACGCCCCGGCCGGGGTCTTTCCTTCTCTGAGCCCCAGCTCATCTTCTCCTGGGCCTCCCGTGGCCAGAACTGGGAAGTGGATGGGGTGGGAGGGTCCTGTTAGGAAGACAGAGGAATGGGTCTCTTACTGAACCTGCTGTGTCACCTGGACCACAGGTGAGCTGCAGTTTGCCCTTGCGGTAAGGAGGGTGGGGAGCCCTGCCCTTAGTGGCCCCCAGCGCTGAGATGATGGAGTCTGGGTTGGCACATAGCCCAGAATCCAGAGCCCTATTATGGGAGGAGATTCATCCTTTCTTCTTTCTCCTTAGGCTGATTCTGGTTTCGGATCCATGGCTCCAAGCATCGGAGTGGGGTTCCCAGCAGGAAGACATGGCGATGGGGAGCCCAGGACCTGCCACCCAGACAGTACCACTTCTGCCTGCTGCAGTTCCAACCCTCCGAAAAATCCTCATCTGTGGTCACTTCCCCTACAGCCCATCCAGCCCTGGTTTCTCCTCCTGGGCCCAAGGTCCATACCCAAACCTCAAAGGATTCCTATCGCCCTGTCCACTGCCACACTCAGCTTCTTGCCCTTCCTCACACCTACTTTCATATCTCTCTGTACAGGTGTTTCTTCCACCTAAAATGCCTAATTCAGGGGGACCCTCTTTGGAGTCCTGGGCCCTCCCCCAGGCAGCCCACCCACCCAGAATGTATGTTCCAAACACAAGTCTATTTAAATACTCCCACCACGGTTTGTGCCATACCTGCAGAATAGCGTCATGACAGCTGTGTATTTCCTGTCCTACTATTTATCCAATGTTTGTCTTCCAATGGGCTCACTTTTGTATATAAATAAACTTATTTCAAAGGAAAAACTTGAAACCACTACTAAAATTGGATAAGCAGGAACACTTGCCACAGAGAGAATGAAATTATAAATGCAAGTACCGTGAAAACAGCTCAGTTCCATTCAACTGAATCATGTCAGATTAAACAGTACTAAATAATAGTTTTAAATTCTAGCTGGATACTGCCACCTGCCAAGACTATGAACCCAAATCTTGCTCTCTGTCTCTTTTGTAATAAATGAAGATTATCAGCCTGGGTTACAGAGATGTTAAAGACACAGATCTCTAAACTGACACTTCCTTCCCAGGCAAAGAGAACTTTCCCGCTCCACCGGTCAACATTGTATGATGCTGCATGCAGGTAACCCCTAAGGTCATCTCAAATTGCTCCACATTTTGGGAAATGTTGCTTGAACAGCTGGGATGCCATTATTTATGGGAGGGTCTGTCTCCACCATTGGGTGGTACTTTATTTGCCTTAATTTCTCAAGGGCCTGGTCTGTATTCAGGGCCTAATCGGGGGGAGGGGGATTAATGGGGGAATGACAGCCACCGCAAGGGACATTCCTGGACCCAGGCAGTCAGATTCCTGACTGTCCCATTTACCCAGGACTTGCTTTGAGGAAGGGTAGGAGGCAGGCAGACAGCTGCCTGTTTTATTTGCTGGGTCTCCTCTTGAGCCCTGGTAGACTCTGGGGCTGGGTGGCCAGCCTTGGAGGTGAAGTTGGAAATCATGGGTCTACTTCCCTTGTTCCCTTGACCTGGCAGGGTGGTCAGAGGTGGGTCACCCTCCAGGCTTCTCTTTGCCCTGTTGGAAGATGGAAAGAATTTTACTTCCTCATTGCCATAGCCTTTCTCGTGGGATTCAGTGCCTGAACTCGAAAGCAGCAACTGTGAATTATATGGCTACAAGGGCAGGCCTGGGAGAGAAGAAGAAGGGAAACAATCTGGGGTCACTGACTTCCTCTGAGCTTGGAATTTCCCTTCCTCTTTCTGAGCCTCTGTTTCCCCATCTATTAGCTCAGGAGGTTAACACGGACAATACAGAACATTGTACTGCCTGCCCCAATTTCTTCTTCTCTCCCCACCCTTCCCATGGTTTCCCAGGGGGAGAGTATACATCCCTCGCTCAGTGATTTGGGGCCTGGACCTCAGACTTGTTTTGGCTAATGGGATGTGGGCGCAAGTGCCAGTTTCAAGGCATGAAACTTCTTAGAGCTTCTGCCCTCTGCGTGACAAGAGCTGGTCCAGAAGCCACTGGTCTCAGGATGAAAGACACCTGGGGCAGCTGTCCCAGCCAGTGCTTAAACTTGCAAGGGGGAAATAAATGTTTGTGATAGGAAGCTGGAGAGATTTAGGAGTTGTTAAAAATTTATAGCAGTAAGAGCTTATTTAACAGATAATGACTGCTACTTTTCAGCAAATGCTCACACTATGCCACACACTTTAAAGCTTTGTTTCATTCATCCATCCTATAACCCCAAGAAATGTGGGAGTTGTTATTCCCATTTGACATGAAGAAACAGTGGCTCTAAAATAAGTGACTTATCCAGTTAAGAGGTGAAGTAACCAGGAAGAAACCGTATCACATTCCTTCTTTGATATTAATACAATCAGTAACAGCTAAAATTATGGGGCACTTACCCTGTGCCATTAAATTTTAATTTAAATTAACTACTTTACACATAATCTCATTAATTCCTCACAGCCTTACTATGTAGGCTTTATTTTTCCCCATTTCACTGAAGCACAATAAAGGTTAATTTGGCCAAATTGTACATCTTGTAAGCAACAGAGCTGAGACAGAGACTACAGCTCCAAGTAGTCTGATATGAAAACTTACATACTTGTTGGGTGCCCCCAATAAGTATGGCTACTGGGGTGCTAGGGACATTCTGTATGTTGACCTGGGTAGCAGTCCCATGGATACATAAATTTGTAAAAAATTAATTCAGCTGAACTTAAAATTTACAATAAGAACATTATAGTTCAGTTTTTTAAAGTAAATTAAACAAATTTTTACCCTCTCTAGGCTCTCTTGCAGCTAGAGATGGTCATCTGATGCCGGACTGGGCAATCAGAAGTTAGGGGAAGTTTCCCTAGGAGGGGTTTCCCAGAAAAACTATTGTTGTCCTAACAAATAAGACAGATTCAGCCTTTTGCTGTTATCTACTCACCCTTCATCCTTCCTGGAACATGGCTGCTGCAATTAGAACAGCTCTCTGGTAACTGAAGATTGTGTTAGGTGGGTTCCCTAGAAGCACATCTTTAAGATTCATAGGATAGTGTTGTCTTGGAAATGCTTCCAGGAAAAATGGATATGGGAGCGGAGAAGTAAGAGTATCAGGAAAGGAAGGAGGCCAGTAAGGGTGTGACATCAAGTAAAGTCTTCCAGAGACAAATATAAGTGGTTCTTCAGAGTTGATCCTGTGGGGTAAGATTGCTGGAGCATTTATGCTTCTGTACTCCTCGGTCATCAGTTTATAACAAAAGGTTGGGGGACATTAATTCCCAGCATTTCAGACTCGCCCTGTGTGTGGGCATGGCAGACTCCAGCAGTTTTACAGAAGCCCTTTGACAAAGAGATGGAAATCCCAGTTCTCAGGAGGGAAAGCATACGCTTTCCCTCAAGTGGTAAAGAAGGGGACCCGAGGGGCTATGGGCAAAGTGCTGACACCATCTGCCACAAGGAGAGAGCCCCACAGGAAGACTGAAGGGTAAGTGACGAGGAGCCCAGGCCTTCAGTGCCCTTCGTGGGCAGCTGCACCAGCCTTGGACTGCTGAAAATAGGCAACTCCTCTCCAATGACGCCACTATGGCTCAGTTTCTGCTCTTGCAGGTACATTAAATCCTAACTGATACACGGTTCACCCTTGAACAATGCAGGGGTTGGGGGCACCAGTCCCCTGCACAATCAAAAACCCATGTATAACTTCTGACTCCCCAAAACAAATACTAATAGCCTACTGTTGACTGGAAGCCTTAGGAACATTAACAGTTGATTAAAACATACTTGGTATATGTATAACATGTATATATAGCAACATATAATATGTATAACATGTTACATATATTCCTACAATAAAGTAAGCTAAAGAAAAGAAAATATTTTTTCAAATTGTTGGAAATCTCCAAAAAATATTCCTGTACATATATTTTTTGAGAAAAAAAATCTGTGTATAAATAGGCCCACACCATTCAAACCTGTGTTGTTCAAAGGTCAACTGTCCCAGTTAAAGAAAAGGCAGGGAACAGCAATCAGACAACACAAAGAAATAAAAGGCATCCAGATTGGCAAGGAAGAAGTTAAACTGTCCTTGTTTACAGATGACATGATATTATACATAAAAAAACCCTAAAGAATCTACTCCAAAACTACTAGATCTAATATCTGAATTGAGCAAAGTTGCAGGATACAAAATTAATACACAGAAATCTGTGGCATTCCTATACACTATCAATGAATTAGCAGAGAGAGAGATTAGGAAAACAATTCCATTCACAGTTGCATCAAAAAGAATAAAATATCTAGGAATAAAGCTAACCAAGGAAGTGAAAGACCTATACTCTGAAAACTATAAGACACTCATGAGAGAAATTAAAGAAGATACCAATAAATGGAAACACATCCCATGCTCATGGATAGGAAGAATTAATATTGTCAAAATGGCCGTCCTTCCTAAAGCAATCTATAGATTCAATGCAATTCCTATCAAAATACCAACAACATTCTTCAACAAACTAGAGAAAATTGTCCTAAAATTCATATGGAACCACAAAAGACCTCGAATAGCCAAAGCAATCCTGAGAAGGAAGAATAAAGCAGGGGGAATTACTCTCCCCAACTTCAAGCCCTACTACAAAGCCATAGTAATCAAGACAATTTGGTACTGACACAAGAACAGACCATAGACCAATGGAACAGACTAGAGAGCTCTGATATAAACCCAACCATATATGGTCAATTAATATA